TTAATTGATTGCGCCAGAGGCGCTTTCTCGGTAAATGTGTAAGACCGAGAATCAAAAGAAAAATTGACGGGCGCGGTAAGATATTACCGGCCGCGTCTTTATATACTGAACGGGTCCTAAAAAAGACGGTTCAATCGAGTTGGCTCGTTGTAGCCCCTTTCCCGGTGTTGGAGGAACTCCGTTCGGAAAATGGTCTTCCGTCTGACAACTGCTCTCCGAGCAAACTTTAGGCGGCGAAGTCTGGATGGCCACGAAACGAGTTTCCGGTGTGCCTGTAGCTGCAACCGTCTCGGCTCTCGGCGTAACAGAATGCTCTGTGTACCGAGGAGAGAGAGATCTCCGAATTCGGATGTTGCCTGGTACGAGAGTGTCCCTTGGTGGCCGAGTCAACCAGACGCAGAACTCTAGGGGAATTAGCTTCCACGCTAGAGTCTGAGGAGGTGACGGCGGTACTGCTGAGTCAGCGGGCCGCTTGGTTGAAGTGTGCGGCCGATGCTGGAACTCTGTTTTTCTTTTACGTGCCTTGCGAGGCAACGTGAGAAAAAGGCGAGACAAATTGCCTCTGGTTAAGTTCTGCTAAAGCAGAGTAAGACTCAGATTAAGGGCCCTGTAGAGAGCTCGCCTTGAAGCGAGTGAGTGAAGAAAAATCTGCAGAGCAGCTCTTTTATACCGCTTCGATCGATGCTTGATCGCGAGAAAGCTTTTCACCGCCTGCGCAACCTGGCGGTGTATTCGCAAGCTCGTAACTCGGCAGAAGGCCTGCGGCGCGTAGCGGCGCCGCGGTGTATTATGCCGCGTCAGTGTAGCGGTGTGGCGGTGAGCCGCCACATATGATATTGTTTAAAATACATTTGTTACAGATTAAAAAAATGTCACAAGTGGGCGGAGAAACTATGCCCAAACAGGTCAGGAATGTTCTGTCCGAAACTATTGGATATGAAGTTGCCGAATTATATACCTGGACGGGACAGAGAAAAACATTATCTTTAAAACAAACGAAACTTTCTGACGCGATCATTGGTATTTATTTTTTTTTGCAATTTATTAAACATTTTCCAATTCTAAACAATGCACATAAAAAGAGACAATGAGTATATTTATATATATACTTATATCCAGTAATATGGATTTTTTTTGAAACAGTAAATACGTGTTTTTTCAATATTGGAAAATGTACTGAACATATCACATGCAAGTACACGCATATTTACGCACGCACATAAACAATTGACATAACATTGCTGATAGATTTTATTTTGTTATGCTATTTGTAGAAACTATATACAAGACAGAAAAAGCGACGGTTTCCGAAATTGAGAACTGCATCAAGGAATGGTTGCGACGAGCTGGCGACAGAATAAGGGCATTATTATGAAAAAATAAATAATATATATATATATATATATATATATATATATTGTTTCTTATTTATTGTACATCCTTTGCTTTCCTTATTCCTTTCCTGCTAACCCAGTTAACAGATGACTTAAATTTATCAAATAAGGCAATTATTACATGGTTAAATTGTCACACCATTTGAACTTATGGCTTACAACTTAAATATGAATTTATTCGGTGATAAGTTATCATTATTAATAAGATTACCCAAATGTATGACATTCAATTCATTCAAAATTACACAATAAATCGACTATTTTTTGGTTAATCCCTTACAGAAATTAAGTATTGAGGCTGAATATTAAATTGGCCAGTACTTTATTAATTTGTACTGGTCAATACTAAATTGGTCAATATTTTGTACTGGTCAATTTAATATTGAACCTCAATATTTAAGGGATTAACTATAAAATAGTTGACTTATTGTGTAATTTTGAATTTCTATTGATTGGGAAATTATATTGACGCAAAGTTGACTAAAAGATGACTTACCGTCAGACATAAAGTAGGCATAAAGTCGACATACAATCGGCATAAAGTCGACTCTGATGGATGACTTGAAGCCGACTATAGTTGGGACATTTGTCGACTATAAGTCGACTAAAAGTCAACATTCAGGCTGACTTTAAAGTCGACAGTTGACTTCTTCTGTCGACTTATAATCGACTTAAAGTCGACTTCGTGTTGTGTGGGATGCTATAATGGCTGACAAAGATTGAGCAGGGACGAGATAGCGGAAATCTTATTATTAGTAGAAGAGTGCAATTGTAGTGCAATTTAGTATATTATTCTTCGTATTTTGTTTCTACTATTTTTATTATCCATTTATCATGAGTGAGATAGATATACAAGTAGAAGCGGATAAGCCGGTAAGTTGATAAACAAAAATAATGTACGAGAGAGAAAGAGGTAATAAAAGGAAATATTGTATTTTATTGCAGTATGTTGTACTAGAGTTACCTGTACATGATAAAGTCGAATCAAATGTTTATGCAGTGCCAGCTTGTACTGCATGGTTAAAAAATATAAAGATGCATGCAAAAGATGGCAAACAAGTTACATTCGCAACTTTGTGCAAATGGCCTCCTGACAAATCAAAACTAAGTGATTATTTAGAAAAAAAGAAGAAACCGACTAATACTTGGATCACATATAAAAATGTTAAAATTTTGAAGTTTTGTAGTAAGTAATTATATTATATATATATTTTAGCATTATGCATGATTATTATTGTAAATAATCTGTTGGCTTTTTTTTCTTGACTTTTCTTTCTTATACAGAGTGAGGAAAAAGTATCGGGACACCTAAATAACTTCTGAATTTATTATTTGGCAATGAAGATACTGCCATTTCAAGATCTATAGTTGAAAGAACGATAAGGCGTTTCAACGAAACTAGAAGTGTTAAAAATCGTCCAGTATTAGGTAGGCCAAAGTCAGCAACAAATCCAGAAAAATCATTAAATGTTTTACAATCCTTCATCAAAAATCCGCATGATTCAAGCCGTAAAGTAGCTCTGCAACATGACATCAATCAAAAGTCTATTCTTAAAATATTAAAAAATAATAAATTTTATCCCTATAAAGCCCATCTTGTGCAAGAGCTAAATGAGGATGATTTTGATAGGCGCATTGAATTTTGTGAGTTGATGATGGAAAGAATAGACGAGGATCCTAACTTTCTATCAAACATAGTTTTCTCAGATGAAGCAACATTTCAGATAAATGGCAACAGCACAATTGCAGATTCTGGTCTGACGCAAATCCTCACTGGATTGAAGAAACACACACGCAATATCCGCAAAAATTAAATGTGTGGGCAAGCATTCTCAATAATGCCCTCATTGGTCCATTTTTTATCGATGGAAATTTAACAGCTGCGAAGTACGAGGATATGCTAAGACATGAAATAATTCCAGCAATACAGGCTATCGTGGAGGACAATTTTGAGGACACATGGTTTCAACAAGATGGTGCTGCGCCGCATTACGGAAGGAACGTCCGTCATTATCTAAGCACAATGTTTCCTGAGCAATGGATAGGTAGGAGAGGAGCTATCGAGTGGCCTCCAGGATCGCCTGACCTAACACCTCTCGACTACTTTCTGTGGGGTTATTTAAAAGAAAGAGTTTACAAAACGAAACAACAAAATCTGGATGAATTACAAAATCGGATTCTTCAGGAAGCTGCTCTTATCCCTTATAATTACATTCAAAATGCCGTTTTATCTTTTTATCATCGGATAGCCTGTTGTCAAACAGTTGACGGTGCACATTTTGAACAATTGATATAAACCTTCCTATACAACCTTAGTTAATTACATCCTCGGTATTGCACACACACACACACACACACATATACACACACACACACACACACACACACACAGCAGAAGTGGTTTGGAGTCATTAATTACTGCGCAAGCACGCACACCCCACATGCCTTCCTACATGTAATTTTATCCACACGTGTATGCAGTTGAATGTTGCAAACTACATATTTTTTCTTGAAAGCAACTATGTGTTTTCTTTATACCAATTGATTCGTCTCATTATTTTATGCATAAAAGTATTAAGGTAAAATTCCCAAAAATTGAATGTTTTACAAGATATTTTGTATTTTATGTCAAAATACTGTAATTTACAAGCCTCATAACTCGAAAAGTACTTAATGAAAAATAACTTTATTATAGTGTTTTGAAAAACTCTTGACACCAGCTATTAGATTTTGGAATCAAAAATAGGGGTTTCTATTTAAAAAACCTAACTTAACCTTGAAATGACCTTGAAGGTCAAGCTCAAAGTCAAATTGAAGGTCACCGTTGAATTCCTCGTTGAAAATTACTACAGAAATGACCTTGACCTTTTTCAAAAATACCTTACATGAGAAAATATTCAGCCGTCCCGGAACTTAATTGACACCCTGTATATATATATATATATATATATATATATATATA